ATGCAAGAGGTACACAGAGAGAAGCTGTGAGAGGAGACTGTCCTCTGAAAGCAATCTTGGTTCCTAGCAACTTTCCCGCTCCTACAGCAGTCCCTGAGGTAGAGTGTGATGAATTTCCAACCCCTGGATTTGCATGTGATTTCTTGGTATTTGCTATTTCACCAGCCCTCTAATGCTGAGCTATCTTATCTCTCTGTCAGAAGAGCACTAAGCCAGACATGCAGTCATTTTGAAACAACTAAAGCAAATGACTCTTTTGCTAATATTATTAGATAATTGTCCACCCCACTCCAGGATTGCCATCTCTAAATAAAGTATCTAGAAGTATGGCTCCTGATGGTATATATCCCATTGTCAAAATGGATCTCTTACCACTACACTTTTCTTGTACTCCTGTTCATGTTATCTATGTGCTTTATAGCATCCAGCATATTATGTGCTATATACTTGATGAAATCACATGACTTTCTTCAACTATATTCTTTGGATTTAGGATAGAAACAGATTATGTACCGATATAACCACATAATATATTAACAGTGTAGATATTTTACATATGTACATACATAGTGATATTTCATGTCCGAATTTTCCACTAAATTTAAGCCCCTGAAGGCAGAGACCATGTCTATTTTTGCTTACTACTTTATACCTCTGCCTAGCACTATTAATAGCTTAATAAACATGTGCTAAATGAAATTTAGCTTAATAAGCAGTGCATCTAGGACAATTATTACTAATATGCATCTTAAACATATATAAAAATGGAACTTTTGGTTCTCTCCTTGCTTCACCTACTAACCTTTCTCCAACCTGCTCCTCCTCCATTCTCCCTTCTTCAGTAAAATGCCATCAATTTTGATTAAGTTGCTCAAGATTAAACAAAAACTATGAATAATCCTTAATTACTTCTTCCTTCGCTTCTCAGATCCAATCTATCAGCAATGTAATTTTCCTATCTACTCTTTGGTCTCCACCACCACTTTAACTCTTGAGTCACTATTACCTCCTACTTGGATTACTGCAATGGCCTTCTAGATACCCTCTTACCCTACTACAATTTTTTCTTCATTCAACATCATGTAATCTAAAATATGTACCACTCGTACTTAAAATTCTATTGGTTTCTATCTGTGTACAGGCTAAAATCTACCGTGTTTCTTGAAAACAAGACATATTTTTTCTCAAGAAGACACACTAGGGCTTATTTTCAGGGGGTGTCTTATTTTTATTAAGTATAATACAACAATCTACATTTATTCAAGTACAGTTAAATCATCTTCTGGGACCTGACAGGGGGAGCCAACCTTGTTGGTGGGGCTGGCATTACTGATATGTGAACTTCTCTCCCCTTAGCCGTTTGCAAGTGCATAACAGGTTGCCTGCTACCGTGGTTACCACACGCACACCCGCATAAGTGAATGGCTCAGAGAAAGGAGCTGTGGCAGATAAAAGGTATTCCAATGTTCCTTACCACTCTGCCGAAATGCATGGCCAGGCCCATCACTAGGTCTTATGGGGTAGGGCTTATATTTAACAAATATAAGCTGAAATGCATAGCCACACCCATCTGTGCCCATCACTAGGTCTTATTATTGGGGTAGGTCTTATATTTAACAAATGCATAGAAATCCTGCTAGGGCTTATTTTTTGGGTAGGTCTTTTCGGGGAAACATGGTACAATCCTCATGTGGTTTCTGCAAGGCTCAGCATCATCTATCTCTAGCCTACTCTTATTCACTATGTTCCATCCACATAGACCTTTTGTTTCTTATGCTTTAAGGCCTCTGAACTTCCTGGCCCCATTCTGTCTCTCATAAGGATAGCACTTTACCAGCTTTCAGACCTGTGTTCTAAACTACCTTCTTGAAGAGGCCACTCTTGTTAAATCTATACGAAGGACCATTCCTTCCCCATTCACACAATTCTGTTACCAAGTTATTTAGTTCCTTCATAGCATGCTTACCATAGTGTAGTGTTAAAAGTTCCATTTTTATATATGTTTAAGATGCATATTAGAAATCATGTTATTTAACTATTTATTGCCTATCTCCTCTCCCTTAGAATGTAAGCAGCTCTGCACCTAGAACAGTACCTGACATATAGTAAGCACTCAGTATTTTTATGATAAACAAACCTCATAGTATTTATTTTGTTCTTTTAAAAACTGCATTTATAATATATAAAAACCACCTTCCTGACATCTTCCCACTTTCTTCTACCTGTATAAGTGGCATATACAATGAAAAGTATATGAATACATGAAAGATTGCTTAAAACTATGGATG